TCTAATTTACTTTTCTCCCTGATAAATTAATAAGATTATTGCTGATAAGAAAAAAAAGTGCACTACCGTACTCAGTCTCCCATACACCGTTGATTGAATTTTCACGAATATTTTATTTGAGATAATATTATAGTTATATTTTTATTTACTATTGTACAAAAACGTCTTTTATATATGCGTGTTTGAACTAGACTCCAATTTTAATGATACTAAATTAGAATTGTTAATTAATTAGTGAATTATAAAATTATATCCTTTGAATTACTCTGCTTGCATAGTTCAACTCCTCTTACTTATCTATCAAAAATAGTTTATATTAAATAAGTCATATTAAGTTCTAAAAGCAAATGAAATAGCACAACTTGCCAAAAGGTCTGACAACCACTTAGGTCAGGTCAGTTATGCAGGATTCGATTGCCGAGCAAGATCAAGATGATTTAATTGATGATCTTTATCTAAATATAAATATTAAATTTACGTATCATACAGATAATCATTTATGTTATTTTTGTATTACTGTTTTTATTTCAGTTCATTTTAACTTTTTTCAATTTATTGTATTATTTCATTTTCTTGCACATATCAATTTTGTAAATAAGACATTAAAGTCTTGATTAACAAAAATAAATTATAACAAAAAAAAATACATATAATTGAAGTAGTAACAATCATGTTACAAATACAACCTAAAATTCCATTTTTTTAATGAAGAATTTAATCGCTATCTTAAAAGTTGAAATTTCAATAATTTTCGAAAACAAAAGGAAATGCCAAGTATTTCGAAATTAATTTTTTGAAAAATCATTGTTTGCCTTCAGAGTTTTTCTCAATTTCTGGTTTGTGTAGTACACAAACATACATACGTCAATATTTCTAAGGTATGCCAAAATGTTCAGAATCCTCTTAAACGTGAAGATATGCAAAAATTTACATTTTCGATTTCTTGCAAAGGCTGTATTTACCCTAGAAAAAATTAATAATGTAATTCTCATGAATACAAAACTTAAAAAATCAAAAATAATGCAAATAATTATTTCGTATAGGACGGCATCATACTTGTTTATGATTTTTTCAGTGAATTACTTCTCGCTCAATATAAGTATATATTCATGCAATGTTTTGTCACGAACGGTTATCTTTAATTACCTTTTCATAAATATAAAAATACCATTTTTATCTGCACATCTTACACAGCAAATAAAAATAAATCATTAACTGCGTACGTTATATTTTTCATTACAGAATAATAAGCATTTATACATAATGTGGTTTTCTGCACGGTGATATGAATGAATAATTAATATAAATGTAATATAGCTTATTATAGTTGAACAGTCAACAATTGGGACAGTCGGCGTACGATTGTTAATTTCAAATCCAGTAATTCTGATAATTTGTTATGGCTAATTACATAACAATTTATGTGTTATATATTAAACAAATATAATCATTGCACGACACAATTAAAATTGTTTACTGAATATTAAGCTTTTTATCAAAATTTACATGTTTGTTTTGAGAGCAATTATGATAAATATTTTCGGACAGAGCAGAATTCAGCCTGTTTTTCATCGCACGTAATATTTAAATTTTCAACGCACACAAATGGGCGCGCGCGTATGCCGCGTGTCTATAAATATAAAATACTATAAATATAGAAGGTTTAAATATAAAATTGGAATTTAGTTTTAGTGAAATCAATTTTTCGTTGCATTGCTGTATAATCTATTCATATTGAAGCACTTAATTGTAAACAGTGTATTATGTAGATTCTGACAGGTAAGCGATAAAAGCAAATGAGTGCCGAATTACAACTATTTAGCATTGTTACAATGAGACATCATTTAACATCAATGCAATTAATTTTATAAACTATTTAAAACTCAAATTTTATTTACATAGATAGTTTGAATACATAATTTAGAGCGTGTTAACTCTAAACATAATTATATAAATATAATTTTATTAATTATATAAAACAAGATTTGAAATAGTTAGCACCCCATTCGTCGAAAGATTTAATAGAAAAAAGTTATTATTTATAGGTTTCGACACTTGATGTGTGCCATCAGGACAAAAACAAACATTTAAAACACTTAGATTAGATTAAAAAAAAACAATTTTTTAAACTTCCAGGTAGGGTTAGTTATAGCGAACGCAAAAAATCTAAAATGAACATTTTTCTATACCTTTAAATTTTAAACGTTTCTGAATATTTAGGCATATCTTACGATTAAAAAATATGGATGTATAAGTGTATTTTTGGAGTCAATTTTTCCCTACGATTTTTAGAGCACGAATCAACCGAGTTGAATAATTCAAAATATTCACATTCCGATTTATATTAATAAGGAGGCATGCTCACTACTGCTTTGGTCATATATGTATGTAAATGCTTATGAAAGATGTGCATTATAGTACACAATAGTAATTATGTGATAAATTTTATGCCAATCTGTTGAGTTATAGATGATTACGTAAAACCAAAAAATGACTTCTATATGAATCATTTTTTTGAATGGTTCTATAAAAACATCTTAAAATTATGTCTTTCGTGAAGGACGAAAGCCAATACATCAAAAAGACGTTATTCTGGCAGCTGTCAAATCTTAATCTATTACAGCTCAAGAAACCACGTGCATCGCCGTTCTCCTCGACGAAATAAGGAATCGATGTCAAAATATTACATTTCGATATTAGAGTAAATTATTATGAAGGCATTAAATATATTTGAAGATAAGATAAACAATTATTGCTGCACGTGATATAAAAATATCAAGACTTAATGTGCCGTAAATTATTAAAATCCATTGATTGTTTATTGCTTATTTTGAAATTGATGAAGAATTGTTTAATGGATACAAAATACGATCAAATAATACTTTAATGAATATCGACAGCTACGCTAGATATAGAAGTAATTGATTCAGCATACATTATTTACGTCGTTTGTTAAAATCGATTCTTTTAAATTCATAGGAAAAACCTGTTAAAACTTAAAACACATAAAAATTCCGTAAAAATCGACTACATTAAAATAAAAGTTTTGTGTGATATTTCACACCTTTTTCAATAATATTTTACAATAAACGATAAAGATTATCGTCAGTGATACATGGCCAATGAGTACAAATGCTTAGTCAACATTATAATTATGCCAATATATAGAAACAATGTTTTTTTACTCACTATCAGAAATGCAATTCAAATTATTTTGAACTCTTCGTTATTTTCTATCGAATTATATTTTTTTATATAATATTCATCAGTACATCTAATAAAACTAAATGTATAGCATATGTATAATAAATAATAAGAAAGAATAAATAATAAGAAGTGTTTAAATGTTCAAAATTGAAGTATACAAAGTTTTAATTTGTTACATAATGCACAAATTATTTGTCTTGAAATTAAAATGTTACCTTTTACACATTATTTATAAAGATTTTTTTTTATATAACATTCATCAGTAGCGTACATCTAATAAACAATAAGAAAAGCAGTAAGAAGTTTAGTTTAGTTTCCATTTTATAACGATATTGACGACATGAACTGTTTAAATTTTAGGAGGGCAGGTCCAGCGATTTCGGAGATCCAATAAGAAAAGTAAAAAAAAAAAACATTTGGCGGACAAAAATTATCATTAAACATGTGCACATCATATTATCAGATATTTTATAAGGATTTTGTACAAATCTTGTAGTTTTAAGTTCAAACTTTGTTTACATTTCTTCAGGCTCCGTATCAATGTTTATCTGTTACAATGCAACGCAGCGCTTACGCGCTTAGATATATCATCTTTAAAATAGCTGCTAAAAAAATTACAAAATTTTCAGAAAATTTCGAAATACAAAAAATAAAATTTTTCAAAAAAGTCGAATTTTTTTAAAAAATTTCAAAACTCTCAAAAATCTATTTTTTCAGTTTTCAAAAAAATTTAAAGCCTAATTACAAATTTAAATTTTTTGTAAGGTAAGTTCCACCACATTGCCTTAAGACACGATGCTACGCACCACTAGTAAAACTAGTGGGGTGTATGGCATCGTGCTTAAAACAAATTGCTGGAACTTCCCGTACCGTAACGAAATGTTCGAGGAATACTGAATGTTTTCAAATAGATTATTATAAATATTGTAACATTGTCTAATGTTTATAAGAATTATATAAACTGAATTGCAAAGTTAAAATTATTTGTTTAAAGTATATTAGAACTTTAGTCAGAATAAAAAATAAAATCTAAATTATTTTCGATGTACAAAAAAAACTAAAAGAAAAAAAGGATACTATATTTTTTCCAAAATCAATTATTTTTTTAAAACAACCTGAAAGTTTTTTGAATCATTTAAATTGGACGCTTAGTTTTCTCAAAAACTGCCATTTTTTGCACATTTAGCTCTGTATCTTCGAAATGGCTGGGCCTGCCATTGCCAAACACTAATAATCACTTCTCCCAATCATTACTAATTGAATATTTTTTAGATCATTCAAATCGGATGCTCCGTTCACTCAAAAACTCGATTTCTATTTTCTTCACTCTTTGCTCAGTATCTCCGTAACGGCTGGACCTGCCTTTGCCAAAAACTAATCAGCACATCTCGCTATCAATAGGAATCGAATGTTTTTGAACCATTCAAATCGGTTGATCCGTGCGCCCGGAAACGTGGGCGAAAAATTGTATCCATACATACATACACACACACACATCCGTTTTTTCTGAGTTATGCCAGAATATTCAGAAACCTTCAAAACATCGAGAAATGTAAAAATTTTTAATTTCGATTTTCGGCCCATTACAATAACTTACCCTATGGGAAGTTAATAAATTATCTTATAAAGTCAACATGTCCCATGTGATTTTTTTTTCGATATCGTGGCGATTAACGTGTTAAATTATAATTGCGTAAAACATTTCAAAGAAAATAATTCAATATTAATATAAAAATAATTACTTCAATAAAATCAATCTATGTTTGAGTATCATCTAAAACAATCACACATACATAAGATACCTCGTTACCGCTCACGTGCGTCCGAAAACAAAATTTCCTCGAACGCAAACCGGCGAAAATGAACAAGTAACAACAGCTCGGAGGTAAGGCACGCACAGCACTGCTCCACAAATTGCAATTTGCAACGATTTTATTTGTTTTGCACCGGTCCCGTATCAACGCCTGATAGCACAGACACTTCACTTGACACTAGGCCGGAGGAGTCGACTGTTCTTATCACGCGTCCGCCGCCGTCGGCCGGCAAGCGATGTTATGTGTGCCGCTTATTGTTGACTCCGCTCAGCCGCTCGAACGCGCAGCACCGCGCTGACGGGATATTATTGCGATACAATGAGGCGACTCACAGTCACAACCGGTGACCTGTACTGAAGATGATCGCGTCTTCTACTGACATGTGTCACTTGGTGGGGGCCGACGGCCGAGCGATCTGACGATCTGCCTGCCTATCCCTGCGGTGGAACGGCAGGCCTGCCTTGAACTTCACCGGTTTGCGTTTTGTTTATATCGAACATAGGCCAAAACAGTATTGCTATTATAAAATAGTATGACTCGGTTGTGCATTCATTCGTGTTACCTGTTATCAACGTAATGCTGAGTGGTGCAATATTACTTAATTTTTTCTGGCTGAGCTGCGCAAAAATATGTAAAGATGATGAAAATAAATGTTTGTAAATTACTATTAAATTAAGATTAAATTAGTATTACAAATTGTAATAATAATTTAATCTTTGTAATAAATCTGATTATTATACAAGTAATTAATAATGCTACGATGATATTTTTCAATATGTTATGTATAAACACCATGGCATCGAATGGCATCGTGCCTTAAGGCAAATTGCTGAAACTTCCCGTACCAAAAATTATTTTTTTTAAAAAAGAACTTTGAAAATATTAGATTTTTGAGAAATTTTTAATTTTTGAAAAAAATACTTTTTTTTTAAAAAAGGCATTTTGAAAAAAAAAGTTTTCTTTATTTTGAAATATTTTGAAAATTTTGAACTGTTTTTCAAAGCCATCGGACTGCTCTAGCAGCATAGATACGAAATATCAAAGCGCGTAAGCGCTGCGTCTCCATCTAATGGTCAAACGATGTTACGGAAGCCATAGAAATGTAAACAAAAATAGTATAATTAAAACCTCCATAACATATCTGATAATTTAATGTGCATATGTCTAATTCATATTTGACCGCTAAATGGCATTTTTTTAACTTTTTTTATTAGTTCTCCTAAACCACTAAACCTGCCTTCCCAAAATTTTAATCAGTCCTTCATCTTGCCAATACTAGTAAAATGTTTTTTGAATTATTAAAATCGTACGCTTCGTTCTCTTAAAAACTGAGTTACCGTTTTTGGCACTTTTTGTCCCGTATCTTCGAAACGGCTACACCTCCCTTTGCGAAAAACTAATTAACACGTCTCCTTATTAAAAGGAATCGAATGTTTTTCAAATTATTCAAGTCGGTTGATTGGTGTTCAGAAATCGTCGACAAAAATTTGTATCGGCACACCCACACACACCCACAGAATTCTAATGTAGGATTTACGCGATGGTACAGAAGAATATAATATAACAGGAGGTGTGTCGCAGTGCTCTGTTTTAAGCCTTTGCTGCGGAATATTATATAAGATGGCCTTTTGAAACTTGAGATTCCAGCATGTGTGAAACTAATAGCATATGCGGACGACGTAGCCATAGTAGTTGTTTCCAAACAAATTGATAAGATCGTAAGTCTATTTGACATAACCTTGAGAAAAATTAGTCGCTGGAACAATGGACCTTCATTTAGCACAACAAAAAAGTGATAGAAAAACTAAAGAGACCATCAAGCTGAAGATAGGAAATCTAGAAATCACTCGATTGAATTTCAATCAACAGGTGGAACACGTTAGTGCTAAGGCGTCAGTAGTTAAGACGAGTCTTGCTCGACTGATGCCAAATTTTTGGAGGCCCAAAACAAACCCGATGGATATTACTATCATCAGTGGTCACTTCGGTGCTTACATATGGTATTACCATATGGGATGATGCTATCAAAACTCAAAAATCGCGGGGTTTTTCAAGAGTTGCTTTCACATTTCGCACAATATCGGAGGAAGCAGTGTATGTCATTTCAAAACTCTGCCTCTCTTAGTCTTAGCAGAGGAAAGACGGACAATTTACCATTGAAGATATCAACAACTGAGTCTTGAAAAGTTAAGAATTAGCAACTGTGGGATGTCGCAGTAAAGGGCAGATGAACGCATCGTCTCATTCCAAATATCAAAGTCTGGCTAAATCGCAAGCTTGGAAAAGTTATTTATTACACTATACAGATGCTATCTGAGCACGGCCGTTTCTGAGTCTACCTACACTACGTCAAGCTCGATACCTTGCCGGATTGCCCATATTGTCATAATAGAAATAGATACTGTTGTAGAAGTGATGCTGACAAATGAGGCTGCTTGGAACGTCATAGACAGATTTGCGAAAGAAATGCTAATTGACCTGCTATCTATGAAAAGAGAAAGAGCGAATGGGACTTTGCTCATTTAAAAGATAAGTATAATTCCAGTGCAAGAATAATAACATTCTAGATCCTCCCCCATGAAGTAATGCCCAATTGTGGTTTCCGTGGAGTCCGGAAGCAAAGGCAAAGCGGAGGTTTTAGTCGGTCTTATATGCAGGCGGTATTGCGTTTGACATACCAGAAAAAAGACCGGTCTTGAATCCATAAATGCATTTTATTCGCTATACAAAAAAAACACACACACACTGTAAGACATTGACTGAAAGCAATAATGGGGACTTGTTCGAACAATCATACTTCATCTTTCTTCCTTTGGACTCTATCACAAAATTATTATAGTTTAGCTTTTATGACGACTGTCACTACCATAACCCGGAACAGCTGTATCAAGTCTCCCCTACTGAGTTTCTGGCTGGTGTACAAAAAAACATACATACATAACAAACAATACATATAAGAACAATGACGCGTTGTATCTGTTCTGAAGTTGATAGAAGTTAATTAATACAGTTAAGTCACATAATTCGCTTGAAGTCGATTGATGCAGTGTGTCTTATGAGTCGAATGAAGTTGGATTATATAGTTAGATCGATTATAGTCAGGGCCGGTCCTGGGGTCCTTAGTACCCGCATGCAACTTTTTTCAGCGCCTCCCCCCACTATTAATTTTAACTGTTTTAACAGTTTATCATTAAAATTATATAAATATTAGCATATTTTTTAAAAATTAATTTTTAATTAATTTGGATTTAGTACTCAAATAATTACATATAATCCTAAATCGTATAAAATATATTTATTTTAAATTTATTTAAAAAATCGAGGTGATTCGCGGGTTGATTATAATTAAATATTTTTACATTTTCAATTTTTTTAACGTATGTGCAATTATAATATTTGGGTTTTAAAACATTTTACTTATTTATTATGCGATATATTCTATTGAGCAAATCATGCCAAGTGAGCTAAAAAAACTAGCTTTCTATTTTCAATCATAACACTCGTATTCCATGATGGATTTTTTAAATTTTAATTTAATTTATTATCCAAATCATAACCGGGCGTCGTAAACTTCTCCTTATTGATATTGTAAGAGCCGAATTGTATTCATCCATGCTTTCCCGTTATATTCAGAGTATCAGTTTGTTGTTTCAAAGTTAAATTTTTAACGTATTTAAGAAGTATTGTCCAAAAATCAGTAAAAACTGCAAAGAAATTACACATTACTTAAACTATATTGAAAAAAATCTCATTATATTTGATATGTATTATTTCTGCATAGTTCAAAATTTAGAGTATGGACACCACTAGGTATAAGAAAAGCCTTAAAATTTTCGTTCCAAAGTAAATTTTGCTTTCATTTTTCATATTTGTTCCATTTCCATAACCCTAACCTATCTTCAACATTCAAAATTCATCAGATGCGAAACATTTGCAACAAAAGTAAAAGTTACAATTCAATTTTTCGGAATAAACATGCCATTAAAGCACTGACTTCCCTTTTTTTCGATTATAATTTGATTATATTTTCTAACAAGTTTTGTTTCAACTAAATCAGCTCGCAATTTTTCGTCAATAATGCCCATTAATTAATTTTATCTTTCGCCGGTTTGCGCTTATAGTGCAGTAAACGGAGAGGAAAAAAGGGTATAACCTCTGAATTTTTTTACTGTGCTCCGAATTGAATGAAATTTTGGAATTATGTTCATCTTACCCTCAAGTTCAAAAGTGAAAACAATTCGGGTTGCGCCATCACCCCCCGGCGGGATAACACCCCCTCTCAATTGTGTAATTACATTTTTTCAAAATAACGTCGGAAATCGATAGAAGAACTAATTATAAGAAAAAAATGTCTTCTATAGTTTTTCAAAAAAACTAATACTTTTCAAGTTACTGGCCACTAAAGATTCATATATTTTTGGCGTTTTTCTTCGTTTTTTTGCAAATATCTCCTAAAATATACATTTTAACGAAAATCATGTAATGAACAAAATAATGTCAATAAAAATCTTAATAAATTGGTATTACATAAAGTGTTCTAGGAAAAATATTAAGCAAGATTTGAAAGAGCAAAGTCGTTTTTTATTTCGTTCAAGATTTAATTGTTGTATTCAAAGCCATTTAGTGTCGAGGTTTTACATTTTATGCATTTCGGTGAAATTGGGTTTTATAGTGCTCAACATAAGCTTTAAAATGAGTGCTGTTACAAGTTTTTTGCGTGTAAAATGAGTGAGCTATCATTCAAATAAGAAGCATATACGAAGTTTTTTTCTTTCAAATCATATGGTTTAATGGGCGCCATTTCCACCAGAATTAAAGTAATTCACATTCCATCTAGAATTCACTTCATTATGGACATCTTGATAGATTCTAGCAGATTCACTACTTTAGTACAAACTATTTTCAGAAAACTCACGATTTTATAAAAACTTTTTTTTCCAATTTGCGCGGCCGCGCAGTCTTTAAACATTCATAACTCTGTCAATTTTTGTGTGAAAGAAAAATAATAAAAAACAAAAATAAGCCAGAAAGATCGCTTTGATTTTTATCTATATGCTTTTATGCGTATCTTTTATTCTTTTTGAGATATAATGAAAATAATTTCGATTTTTAAAAAAATTGGAAGAAAAAGTTTTTATAAAATCGTGAGTTTTCTGAAAATAGTTTGTACCAAAGTAGTGAATCTGCTAGAATTCATCAAGATGTCCATAATGAAGTGAATTCTAGATGGAATGTGAATTACTTTAATTCTGGTGGAAATGGCGCTCATTAAACCATATGATTTGAAAGAAAAAAACTTCGTATATGCTTCTTATTTGAATGATAGCTCACTCATTTTACACGCAAAAAACTTGTAACAGCACTCATTTTAAAGCTTATGTTGAGCACTATAAAACCCAATTTCACCGAAATGCATAAAATGTAAAACCTCGACACTAAATGGCTTTGAATACAACAA